GGCACCTCCCGGTATGACTGAGAAAAGGTGAAGTCAGGAGTTTAAATAGCGCCTTCCTCGCGCGCAATGTGGGCTCCGAATATAGTATGGACTCCAATAAAGCCTTCCGGGTGATTTATAAGGTCCCACCAAACTACCCCAATTCCATCGGTCAGCGACTGTTAGCAACAGCAAAATCGAACGCTATAAGGTTGAGAAAGCCTGTATTGTGTGCAAAAAAAAACTCCCTGCAAGCTTCACGCCTGGCATGGCGAATAGTCGATTAACTGCACTCTTCCACGCTCTTTTTCTCTCTCCTTCCTCCTGGAATGAGTTCACTAACTCCTCCCCGCCGCGTAACCAGCCTTCCTTCATCGACCCTATCCCACGACTCACTTGTATGATAAGACGAACATTACTGACCGCATGTTTAGCTTGCACCCCCTTCCCATATAAATGTACTGGTCCGATGAGAAAAAAACAAACTTTATTGGTACAAAAATGTTCGAAAAATGAAGGGACACAAGATAGATCTTCATTGAAAGCAGCATTGCAAAGCGGTGTCATGCGGTTCTAATAGAAAACAGTAAATCTGCAATTAATTGGGGAATCAGATCACCGGTTTCCCACAGGAATCAAGAATCCCGAGGAGAATTATGCAGAGGGAAGTGAATGTCCAAATGAGAAATGCTTCACAGGAAGAAGTATCTAATCCAGTGAGTAAATTCAAGCCGTATCAGCCATCAGAGGCGTTTGGTCGTCGGCTTCCGAAACCTCTACAACTAGCTCGGTGACGGGTCGTCGGCGCATAAGGAAAACCAGGAGGACGATGGCAAGGCCAACGCTGGGAATGACTATCAGGCACACTGCGATTATCTTTGAAATGAGGAGCGGCAAAAGAGAGTTTCGCAGCTTGGCGGCGATATCGTCGGGAATGACAAACGATTCTTTGAAGAAACCAATAGGGAAGAAGGTGTCATGTACGCGCCGAAGAGAAGGGAAGTCAGCATTGCGTCGGACTACACCGTTCACTTGCAGCTGCTTTTCGGCCTTCAAGATGACCCCCGTGTGTGGTTCGATATCCAGTCGAGTGGTCATATTTTCAGTAGGGTGAAGACCAATGACAGCTATTTGGTAACTTTCATCGGCCTGGGAGAAAAAAAGGGAAAATGAGATGATTAATTTCAGCCCTAATATGCATTTCAACTTCCAGACTAAACATAAACTTCTGCCTCGAAGACATTACCCCAAGTGTGCAGATTAATTCCTGTGGACATTTAAAAGAAACTTCAGACAGGCAAAGAGAGTACTTCCTATTTCATATGATCCAATTGTGACAAACTTGGCACGCTCTCTGGTATAGAATAAGGAATTGGCCGTCTAAGAGGCTCAGGACATATACACATATCTTTCTGCTTCGTGCGCATTCGGATGAAAGACGCAGGTAACCACATAAAGAAGGGATCCTCTAGCCGCGCAGACAAGATCAAAGCTGCTGAACGGATCTGAATATGCCCCGAAATCACAAAGACCAATTACCCACCCCAGCCCCAGCTAGTTAGCATATGAAAACCGACTCCTCTATTTTCCTGACAAAAATTAGTTGATTCCGGTTAACAGAAAAGGGCCTAATCCGTAGCAAACTCTGCTGACCTTGTATGGCACTTATGGGATAACAGAAACGAAGGCAGACCACCTCCACGCAGGCCAACACTGGGCAAGTACGGTTTTTGAATATAACTTATTGAACACGGGAAAATAAAGCCAGGGAAAGGTTTATCTGCAAAACACACTGGTGCGAAACTGGTGCATATGGACGGGGGAGCAAGAGCATGCAGTAAACAGACGGACGGATGAACGCTCATCGGTCGGTTACGGGACGCACGCGCTCATTTCTGCCCCGGGTATCACTCTCGGGCCCAATCAGCAGCCACACAACGGCTAATAGTTTTAGGCAGAAAACATTGTCATTTTTGGGTCATTAGCCGTCATCAGGTAGTCATACCCAACCACCAGTGGTGCACCATCCGAAGATCGAACCCGTGACCTTCCAATCAGAAGTCCAACGCTCCAACCATTGGGCCACGGGCGCGTTATATTTCCGGTCTAGATCGGAAATAATGACACTCCTTGATGGCCATTCCAGTTTCCATTGTCTTTGCCGATAATGTTATCTGTTTATTGGACGTTCAAAATTTTGTTACCCTACCCTCCGTTATATTACTGTAAAGGCTTGATGATTGATAACTAAAAGTGTACGCTCGCCAAACTTGACTTCTTGAATTCTATTTACATTTACTAGTCACTTACCGGCTTGACAAGAGACCTTATGAAAAATGATATTCCCGCGACGTCCCTGTCAGTGAAATCGAGCAAGAACCAGTTTGCTTTAGTCAAACGCACCCTAAACAATTGAGAAACAGGAGAAAAACAACCGATTCCCATGAAACTGCATTGGGACTGTAGGCCGCTTGTTAACGACCACCCTCTAAATTACGCTTATTCCTGAAGGATATTTAAGTTTAAACTTCCCCAAAAAGACCAGTTACAAAAGCGAGTCTATTTGTGCTGATTTATTTCCTTGTTTTTTGCATGGTCAGACCCTCTGTACTTTGAAAACTTAAATCTGCTCATTTACAGCGATTTTCGGTGTCTTTCCCTTTTTCTAAAAAAGTAATAATATTTCTTTTATGTTTCCAAATCACTGAAATTCGTTCACTAGTACCTCAAAACCTTGGACCATTCGTAGAAGCCGTTTTGCCAGTAGTTAGGAAACCTTCGTAACTTTCGGTGCTTTGCATCATCCAGGTTACACACTGCACTTCTAAACAGCCTGAGAGGACACTGTTGCGAGTGCGGT